AAAGATGCTCAAGGAAAGATGCTCAAGGAGACCGAGACGCGCTAGTCTTTTTTCATCAAACAAACAGGCTAATGAATAACTCGACACAACTCATACCTGGGCAGAGTCTAGACAGGGCTTTCTTCTGTGTAGATATAAATTCTATTCTTTGCATCAGCTGGGCATGGCAGGGTATGATATGACCACTGCTGCAGTTGTATGGATTCTTAACGCATTTATTGCAACATTTAATCTTTTTTTCATCAAACAAACAGGCTAATGAATAGCTCGACACAACTCATACCTGGGCAGAGTCTAGCTAGACAGGGCTTCTGTGTAGATATAAATTCTATTCTTTGCATCAGCTGGGCATGGCAGGGTATGATATGACAGCTGTCATAGCCTACCCTGCTCACCCAGTAAGTCTGTTTAAGTAATTAATTAATTCGTTTCAAAATAAATATTTTAAACACTAAGACAAAAAGGAAGGAATAATAAATTGGCTTGGGTATATATAGGCCTATAATGTTCACGCAAGAACTGTAATTTTGACTGACAACCGGAGAACAACAGATATTAAATAGCCTGCTGTTAGAGTTTTATAATGTAGTCTTGTGTTTTATTAAAATTTATTATAATTGATATCTCAAAAGGATATGCACTTGTGTGCGGCGTGAGCTGCTGCGCACTCGCACTGCAACGCAAATGTACCTTCAGTATACCTTCAGAATCCCATCAAGGGGAAATAACTTAATACTCTGTAATTTATAGTCATATGGTAAAATTTATATTTTTATTTGCATAACGTTATGTTCAAAATAACTACAAAATGACTTTGAAAAATAAAGAGAACAACAGAATGCGCTGCTTTAGCGCGTCTCGGTCTCCTTGAGCATCTTTCTGACGCATGCCACAAACATGAACCACAGCGAATACTTGTCTTTTAAAAGGCTTCATTTAGATTATTTTACATTAAATGCATCATATAAGTCACTTTGGAATAAATCACAGTAGGCCTATGTATCATGATAAAAAAAAAACGACTTTACAGTCTGGAAAT